CAGAGGAACCAGCACCTGCCAGCCAGAAGAAGGGGAAAGAGACACCGCCAGCCAGGGCGTACTGATGCGCTGGGCTCACCTCCCGGCCTGGGGACAGATGGTATTGGGCAGCTGTGCCCACCTGACCCTTTCCCAGAGGTAACCAGAGCCGCCCTCAATAAGTCTAGTTTCTATGGCCTCCCATCCCTGATCCTTCTTCCCCAAACATAACCAGAATGAAACCACCTTCCTCAGCCCCAGCTCTGCTCTCTATCCCCCCCTCCCCAGGACCTCCCAAGCCACTTGTCTCTCAGACCAGGCTAGCCTCATGTCCCAGCCTGGATACCAGGACTCTCAACCTAGTGGCCCCATTGCCAGGTCTGACCTAAGAGGTTATTTTTTTTTTTTTTTTTTTAAAGATTTATTTATTTATCATGTATACAGTGCGTGCCAGAAAAGGGCATCAGATCTCATAACAGATGGTTGTGAGCCAACATGTGGTTGCTGGGAATTGAACTCAGGACCTCTGGAAGAGCAGTCAGTGCTCTTAACCCCGGAGCCATCTCTCCAGTCCATGACCTAAGGGTTTTTGTCTTCTTATTTTTAACTTATATAATTTTATTTATTACTTTGAATTACGTGTATGTACCCTGTGTGGCCATATGTGCACAAGAGTTCAGGTGCCCATGGAGGCCAGAAGCTGGAGTGACAGGTGGCCTTGTGACAGTCACCTGACATGGGGATTGGGTTCTGAGAACAAAACCTGGGTCCTTTCAAGAACAGAATTCAATTTTAACCACTGAGCCATCTCTCCAAACCATTATTTTGATTTTTTGTTTTTTAAAAACTTGAGACAGGGTTTCTCTGTATAGCACTGGCTGTTCTGGAACTCGATTTGTAGACCAGGATGACCTTGAACTCACAGAGATCCACCAGTCTCACCCCGAATGCTGGGAGTAAAGGTGTGTGCCACCATGCCCAGCTCTCAGTTTGATTTTTGTTTGTTTGTTTGTTTTTCGAGACAGGGTTTCTCTGTGGCTTTGGAGCCTATCCTGGCACTCGCTCTGTAGACCAGGCTGGTCTCGAACTCACAGAGATCGCCTGCCTCTGCCTCCCGAGTGCTGGGATTAAAAGAGTGCGCCACCAACGCCTGGCTCATTTTGATTTTTTAAAAGACTCTGAAGCCCAGGCTTGTTTTGAATTTACAGCAATCATCCTGTTTCAGCCTCCCAAATGCTGGGATTACAGGCATGAGCCAGAACGTCTGTCTGTCTTTGAAGTGTTTCACAAGGATCTGGTTTGTGGGGACTGCCCAGCAGTTAGGAGCACTTGCTGCTTTCCCAGAGGGCCTGCCTTCTGGGTGCTTAACAAATTTTGTAAGGCTAGGGCATGGTTGCATACTCCTTTAATCCCAGCACTCAGGAGGCAGAGGCAGGGGAAATCTGTGAGTTGGAGGCCAGTCTGGTCTACAGAGTGAGCTCCTGGCAGGCCGAGGCTACGTAAGAAGACCCTATCTCAAAACAATTTTTTTCAGGCTCTCCTATGTCTGGAAATTGTGTATGCCCTAGTGACTACTATCTGCCAAGGCCAAGTTCTCTTGTGCTTCAGGCTCTTCTCGGCCCTAGTCCATCTTCCTCTGGTAACCTGTCTGGGACCTGAAAGACTGTCACAGGTCTCCTTGGCAAACCTGGGATTTCCTCTCAGTGGGTCTTCCCTGACACTTCTCTTCCCAGTGGGCGGACAGGTCTCAGTTTCCCCTTCTGGAAATATCTAGTATCTTAAAAGTTCAGCCCTGGGACAGAAGGCATGGGAAGGCAGACAGACCTAGGCCTGCACACGGTCGCCACCTGGTGTCCAGTGTGGGTACCTGCAGCGGATGCTCTCCCCGGGGAGGATTGGGAAGGACTGATTCATTTTACAGGAGACACAGGAGCCGGGGTTTTCAGGGCTCTCCCTGGGTTTTGGGGAGCTGAGACTGGAGGGTATTCACCTGCGACCTTAAGGACTAAGTTTAATGACTCTAGTGCACCTCTCAGTGGGACTGGCTTGATTCCCAAATATTCGGAGGTCTGCAGTTCTGTGGGACCTGGGGATCCGTTTGGGCGGGGGGTTTCTCACCAAAGAGCACAAGCTTGGACTGCAACGTGCGCAGATAGAGAAT